AAAGTTATTATTTTGCGATCGCTAAAGCTGCAGTGGCCATTGTATACAAGCTATATCATTTACAATTTGCAGGAATATATGTAGTCAGCAACAAAAAAGAAAATTACTTAACGATATAGAATCAGAACAGGGATACTATTCCGATGTTGTATATCACTTCAGCAGAATAGCCTTAAAAGTTGAGTAGGAATAACAAAGCAATATTTATATGCAATTAAGAGTGGACATCCAATCAGAACAGCCTGATAGTATTGACAAAGCGTATCCTGGAGAAACCAATTTTGAAGAGGTGGTGAATTAATGTCCAATTATATGGGATAGTTAAAATGCACCACATGTATACCCAAAACAACATCCGTGACAACATCTTACAGGGTGCACCATTGACGTGAGGCCTTCCCAATCTGATATTTTGTTCTTACACCGTCTCCAAAATACCCAAAAATGATGACGAAATAAAACGTAAGGAAGCATGAAGTGAGATCAAAGAGATTTAAAAATTCATTTCCACTCAACATTTTAGCTTTTAAAGGAATCAAATGAGAAAAATCAGTTAGTGATAAGTTGCCCGCGAATTTCAGACAGAATGAGCTATTACCACTTCATCAGCAAGTGGTAGTTCTGAAACGGTCAGCTACCAAGTTCAAGAGAGATCGGCTAAGCATAGGTATGTTCGTCATGTGTCTGCATCTAAATAAGACGAGGTCACTGAAGTGATTGAACGATTTCGAAGTTCGACCACCCCAAAAACTCGAGACCTGGGAATCGAATCTTTAAATGTAGACAAATCAAAGCGAGAATTCCTGCAGCTGCGATAATTAAAAAAGTAACAGGAATGATGGAGCAGACCTAACTTACTGCTTATCAGTTTGTGCGTAACTAGCCTTGTTGTTATCAATTCAGGAATTCATTCCACTCACTCCCGTTAGGAATAAATGCATGTTTTTCGCAAGCACATGTTCATAATACACATCGATGTAATAATACAAAAAGAAGTAATACATCAGTGGACTGTATTAGTGAGCTCTATGTCCTTCGACAGTTCAGTAAGTTGTCTGAAAATAACTTCATTACAGAAATTGTCACTGTGAGTTGAACAGGTTTGAAAAAATTAAATTTAGATAATGTAAACGAATTCCACATCCCAAAAGAATAAAAAACAAAAGAATGGAGAAAACCTGCGTAGTATCAGCACTTTTGACTGCAGTTCTTTTTCACGTACTTTCCATTGCATCACTGTCTGCTTTATACCATCCCTCAGTTTCCAGTCACGCATCCATCGCAAAAACATACGTTCCCAAAATGCCTGGAAGCTCGATGACTTCAATCATCACACGGCACACAAGAAGAAACAGATGAAATACAACGAGGCTTACTATGCTTTGCGGAGCAACACAAGGCCACAGCACAGTTGGATTAGGTTCGTACAAAGCGTTCACGTAAGTACACAAAATTTCAGGGTTATTCACATAAGACCAAAGCGACACTGTTCGTGTTTAACTTCAAATCGTGCCTTTCTTTCTCACTGTTTCCTATAAAAAAAAAAAAAGTTAAGTAAGACAACCGTGTTAAAATACGCAAAAAGCGTAAGAAATCAAGCTCATACATATATAACGTATTTGATCATTTTCGTCATTAAATTTTTTCACTGAGGTAAACACTGCAAAATTATCCTATCGTACCGCTGTGAATGAAGTTTGGCTTATCTATGTACTTCACAGATACAGTATTACCTCACAGTAAATCAAATGGGGATACGGTATTATCAGTCCATTTATCAGTTGGATAAAATAAAATTTGGAAATTACCAAGGAAGGATCCAAACTCGGAAGCATAAGCATGTTCGAACAAAAATATGAGGAACTCCTCGGTAAATTCAAACGAACACGGGAATTGCTGGTATACCTTTGAATAATGCGTAAACAAAATAAAGCATCAGTAGAAATTTATAGCCGTTAAAATATATAAGTAAAACAACTTCTGAAATGAATAACCTGCCAAACACAATCCAAGAAGCAAAGAAACACGGGAGATTCGTACGGTCCTGTGATGCCACCAGTAGCAAAGGCTGAATGGGCACATCGATAGGAAAAAGGATGTCCAGCACATATCCATTCTCGCTCAATCAAAGATTCGAAACTGAAAACATCCAAACAAACTTCCAAAAAACGATTACCGAATTTAACATCAGGAGACTATTTAACTCACCCTCGAATAGTGCGAGCATCAGAATCTAGCAAAAGCTGTGCCAGTGATGTTACCAAAAGAGTCGAATCGGTTCCTTCAGCACCATGCACCACTACTGGAACCTCTGAAAACAGCTTGCTTTTGGCACAGTTTACTAAAAGAGAGGCGAAAATTTCAATTGAAGAACCAAGAAATCCGGATTTTTCAAACAACGGCTAAATGAAACGCACTGCTACAGACCATTAAATTGGCAAATAGTTATGTGCTTATCACGTTCAGAGCTACTGATGATGCTGAGTCAGACTTATAGCTTGTACAAAGATCAGTCAAATTTTCCATCCCTCCCAAAAGCGCACAACGATATCCGGACGGTTTGAACTCCACTGATTACCTAGGTTATAAACAATATCTTCTATAATTGAAAGATCTAAAAATGTCGTCTAAAAAAAAACATTCAGCATGCAAGAATACCGAATTTAAGCAAAAACAGTGTGTACAAGGACTTTTCCTGCTATTTGATAGTACATTTTTAGAAAAGCAATAATGTATTCAATAAGCGAACGAATTAAATCGATTTAACAACAAAATACTTCTAAACGTCTACTGCAGTTAAACATTTAACACATAAGTGGTCAACTCATCGAAAGTTATCATGAGAATCTTGCATTTTTCAGCAGAATGAAGGTAGAAAGGGTGTTCTGTGTAATAACCCCACAAGCAGTGAAAGAATGTTCTGATTTAAGTTAACTAAGAATATGCGTACATATTTCTGCACAGTTATTGGTTATAATTCTACGAATAAATATGCGATTAATTCACTCGGTCAGTTAAACAAACGATTTCTTAATTTTTTGTAACGACATACTTCCTGCACGAGTTGATTATACAAGTAAAGAAATAAGGAAACAGTACGGATGGCAGACCTGCATTGCCTTCACAATGGACACATTGAGCCACTGTTGCTGCGCAAGTTAACATGTCAGAAATAAATTGAACCCAGCCACAAGAACCAAGACGAGATATCCAACGATCAATACTGATATTCGTTTCTGCACACACTGTAACAAGGTCATACATGGAAGAGAAAATCGAATGCTGTTTAAAAACAAGACTCTGCATAAGCATAGTGAAAACTTTTTTCTCCTCTTTTTCCCACCGCAAAAATTAAATCTGAATAACTTAATAAATATAGAATGTAAGAATGCTAAATATAGGGATATCAGAATACGAAAATAGCAATAATATTAAACACGAAAAACTGATAACGTCACAACAGAACGGAATCAAATGTCTTGAAAGTTTTAAAACGAAACACGACAGAGTGACAGCTCGGAAACAATCAAGCAAAACAGAAGGACGACTATACTGAAGTCCAACACATAAATGTGGAAAAGATGTGCCTAACGTCACGAAAAAGTAGAGAACATCCCAGTGTAACCCACTTGTCATCACGAAACTCACATTCAACTAATTTGACCAGTGCATCATGGATTTCTTTGATCCGTGGAGTGCCACCATACATATATTTCCATTGCGAATAAAACATCTGCGACTCACATCCGCCACCTTCAACCAAGAAAAATAAGTGCTTTCAGAAGTAAATATTTCAAACTGTAACATATTTACCTCATATGAGGACCTGATTCCTATTAATTTAGAGTATTTCATCCATTCTGAAAAATATTATCTTGAAAACGCTGCGAAAAATATCATGAAAATGCGCAGTAACTTCACATTAACCGACTTCGCAGCTAGAAAAGCAGCAGTGCCGCACGAGCTTTCATGCGTACAAAAGTACTTTTTCAGTGAAGTTTTCGAATATCCTCACCCATAATCAATCCGGTTAGGAAGAAATTTATAAGATTATATCCACTTACTATTGCTTTGCTTAGAATTCACAAATTAATGAAGTTCCGCCATGTTATGGCAACAGCTTGTTTTGTAAAACATGCAACACACATAAAGTTAAAGGAGATTTGCTACTGAATATACCTTTATTTTTTGCGCTCTGTGCAAGAGTTTTCGTGCGAGTGTCTACAATAACTCCCTTACTTGTCGAGGACAACAAAGAATTGAGGATCGTTTCATCTTCTTTACATCGCCGATTTGTAGGACCGACTAGAGGCTGTCCGCAACGGATAAGGCAAGACTGAAAAACAGATCTTTTAAAGGAGACATTTGATTGTTCCATATATGAATAATAAATGCTATTTTACCTAAGATATATAAAGGAAAATAAATATTTACTGTGAAAATAATGAGTACCACAACAAACCTTCGTTTTTCCATGATAGAAGCTTAGTATAGGGAAACGTCCGCCATCTCGAAAAGTAGCAGATATTCTAAGATAATCATCGCCAATACCCTTCGGCACAATCACCATTTCCGGATACGTACTACACACCTATTTAAAAGAACTATGTAAAAAAAAAAAACCGTTCAGCACATTCTTGCAAATATCCAGCAACTATTCGATAGTTTATTCATATATATTTCTGGTTATTTGCTAATCATGAAAAGTACCGAAATGTAACTCTCGGTTATCATCTTCTTTTCGTCACCTGAGATTAACTGAAGCGTATTTCATTCACTATATCACTTACAGTTTCACTATATCATATTTTCATCGAATTAGTATTCAAAATGTCTTCCCATAAAGTTGTCGTGTCTAGTATACCGTAGGTTAGCCTATACCAACTGCAACTCAATCGCGTCCACAGAGAAATTAAGAAGTATAACGCAACCGACGCCATCAAAGCAAATAAAACAAATATTATGTTTTATCTGATAACCTTAAGCAACAGAAGCGATATCATACCCGAAAGCCTTTGTTGACAGCACTAACACGCCATCCATCTTTACACCGCATCATTAATTTCGCATATTCTTGTTCAGCATCAAAAGCAGTCCATCCATTATCCAATACAGTGAAAGGACACCGGTAATAAAATGGATAATCGTGCTGTATACCTTCTGAAAAATAAAAATCTGTTTATCACTTTTTTCTGCAGAACAGTACAGCTCAGTACCAGAAACTACAAACTACAGATATCTAACATTGACATCTTTCGATACAGCTATTATGCCACTTTTTTAGACTCGATTATTACGTATCTTTCAAGTTTCCGAGTAATAATTGAACAATGATACTAACAAATAGTAATAAGTGATAATGATTAATAATTAGTAATGATAAAGTGGCTTCGTTGACAGCACTTATACGCCATCCAGCTTTACACCGTAGTAATAATAATAATAGTGATAAACAATAAATAATGAACGATAAATAATAACATACAATAAATAATAAACAATAGACGACAAATAACAAACATTGAACAGTAAGCAACAAATAATGAACAATAAATAGTAAGTAACAAACAACAAATAGTAAATAGCAATCAATAATTGAAAAATGATCAACAATAAACAGTAAATAACAAACAATAAACAATGAATAATAAGCAAAAAATGACAGACAACAAATAATAAGCAATAAACAATAAATAATAAATAATAGTAATAACAACTGACAACAGTACAATGATAATGATAACAATAACGGAAAATAAATAATAAATAGGTGGTAAACAATAAGTGATCAGCAATAAATAATAAATAGTAACAAATGGTAATAGATAACAAGTAATAATAAATATCAAATAAATAATATTAATATTAGGAACAGTCAACAATAATGTAATAATAATTAATAATGACAACAATAATGACGACAACTACAATGTATTAATTAGTTAGTTAGTGGGAAGCAAATGCTAAATAACAAATAAATAACAAATAAATAATAAATAATAATAAATAACTTGCTTAAATTGGATAATTTTTCGATAGAACGTGCAACAGCGAGGCAGTCATCCAAATCATCGATTTCGAAAATACATATCATGAAGTTCTTGCACTTTAAAATCAGTTTTCCACTACGACTTAAGCTATCTTTAACAATTGGTTCCACAACGACATGATCCACTGCACGATGGAGAAGCTGAAACTACTGCCTTTCTCCCATCATTATTGGAAAGCTTTCAATGTCACCAACTTGACAACAGATTAACAGCTTGTCAAATGAAAGTCTCGATCCAAAGATAACTTCTGGACAGTAGTCTCGTGTACTTTATAAATCTAATATTAGTACAAGAACATTTACAGAAAACTATATCAAGCTTAAGATTATGTGGTAGGCCTGTCATTAGGCTTAAAATCTATTCCATTTCCCAAAAACCTCAATAAACAAGTAAGTCATAAATGCAGAAGGACCGGAAATGCCGATCGTATATACGAGTAAACTACAGCTGCTCACATTAAATACCATTTGACTGAAAACCTATCAAAGGAATCATTTATTGACACATTAAATCTTTATTACTTAATCAGCTAAAAATACCCAAAGTTCATTGCTATGCTCCTTTCCATTCGGAGAGTTTGCTGAACTGGAAGATGGTGAAAAAATCATATGATGCCCAATAAGGGCTAGTGAACCTGGCTGTGGTTGTCGAGGACCTTTTCGTAGGAATACGTTATCTACACGCGGCCGTTCTATAGCCTCGGACAACTCCATAATCCTGGAATTTCGATTGTTGGGATTGGATAAAATTGAGTTACGTTAGTGATAGCTTGCTAATAACATCAAGAAAGTGCCTATACAGTTGACCAATGACATTATTTCTCGGTCACACCCAGTTAAACACATTTGCACTAGAAAAAGCCGTACCATTTACCTTAGATATGCAAATCATACGGCTTTTTGAATACAAGCCTTTTTTGAATATAACCCGCTGTATGCCAATGGACAAAGGAACTGTCGTCGGGAAAATACATAGAGTATATTTTGGCTGTTGGCAAATGATCGAATTCGTAAAAAGGAGTGCAAGCCTGAAGACCTTTTCTAGAAATTAAAAAAAAAACACAGTGACTTGGACTGAGCTAGTAGTGCGCGTATTGATTCGTAGGATTAGATAAAGTTGGATTACGTTTGTGATAGCTTGCTAATAACATTAAGAAAGCGCTTATACAGTTGACCAATGACACTATTTAATATTTATGATAAGATAATAAGGATGGAGAAATGGCAAAGGTAGGTGGGGAGAATGTGAACAGTGTTATGGACTGAAAGTCAACCGACTAGTTCAGGATATCAATAAACATAAACGTGTTTTCTCTCACGCAAAATAAAGGCATTAACTGAAGCCACCATCAAAAATGGACGAAATGGGCTTGAATACGTTTCGCCAATTCGGCATGTCCTAACTGTTACTATTGTTCATTGATGTTTGTGCTTACGTAAATTCCGTTTTAGTTTTTGACGTGTTTAAATTGCATGAAAAAGATACATGAATAATTCAAAACCAGAAGAAAAGTGAGGAGAGAGAGAGAGAGAGAGAGAGAGTGAGTGAGTGAGATGGTTGGAAGCAGTTTAGTGGAATGGTGGCTCATCTCTGCTTTCACGTAGAACGAATAGTGAAATATTCCGCGTTATTTTGAAGCGTGTATTAGAGCGTACTGAAATCAGATGTTAGCCTTAGACAAGCATCGTACTGTATTATATTTTTTAGTAGGTGATTTTATTCCACGATTTCATTATTACTTGTCGTGTTCTGATGGCACAGGTTGGGAAATCAGTGAGGGATTGTACTATTGAGTTAGAAGGTATCCATCGATCGTCCCTTACTAAACCAGTTCATCAGTGCTTTGCATCTCCGACTTTGATTTCGTCGATAATTTTTGTTTTTTGCTGCTATAGTTGACAGTCAATCCTGGTATCGTACAGTTTTGCAAATATTGTTATGCAGTACTGAATGGTGTGCCTCACAGTACAAGCATTATGATAGTTATAATACATAAATGGATATCTTGTTTTGTAATTTTTCTGTTATAAAAAGAGTTTATGTGCAACACAAGTAATCAGTTTCAGCATATCTAAGGTGTTGTTTGGTGCGTTGAATCGGATGATCTCCGTACTATACTATGCAGACACGCTCTAAAACAAAAGCTGAGAAAGAGCGTCGTGCAGCACAGTTCTTGTGTGGTATCGTTGAAGGTATGAGAAAAGTTAAAACTTTAATACAAACTGTATACAGTACAACATTTTGCTTTATTTAGCAGTAACTTATATTTGGCTGTATTGAAGAAGACAATTTGAAAACAGGATTCTATGGACGGCCATGGACGGCAGACCAGCGGAGAGATTTATTCGCTAGGATGAAACGTCTGGGAATGAACACTTACATTTACGCACCAAAAGACGATCTGAAGCATAGAGCTGAGTGGAGACAGCTGTACAGTTCCGATGAAGTAGGTTGGTGGTTTGTAAATCGATAGCGTTTCACATTTTTATTTCTCTTAACAGAGGCAAGAATTTAGGATAAGAATATCTAGTTTTTTCACTTGCAGAGTTACTGCAATCTTTGATCCAAACAGCAAGGATGGAAAATGTTACATTTGTGTACGCGTTGTCTCCTGGAATTGATATTATTTATTCAAGCGACAAAGAAATCAAAGCTCTGCATGATAAATCTGAACAGGTTGGTTTCATCTGATTATGGTTACCATTTCTATAGGGAAATTAGGGAAAGTTAACCTAAATTCTGGGTCACCTGGACACTGGGAACATTGATAGGAAGTGTCGGTTTTGTGAAAGAAAGCCGAAAAATAGTGCAGCTATACTCTGTTAATCTGGTTAGCTTTCTCTTACGGTGTCCGTTTCTAGGTACGCTGTTTAGGATGTGATGCTTTTGCGCTACTGTTCGATGATATTGATATGGCATTGAACGATGCCGACAAAAAACAGTTTTCGTCTATTGTTATGGCCCAGTTAACTGTTGCTAATGCTCTATACGAGTTTTTGAAGTGTCCTCATTTCTTTTTTTGTCCTACAGGTAACCAACCCTACACCAAGTTTTTGCTTCACACATCTTTGTCTTTCAACATCCTTTTGATTTATTTGAGAGCACTTTTTCGAAAGCACTGCTATTACTTGTCCTTAGCAGCAATATATCATTTACGATATGAACTTTTTTTATAGAGTATTGCGAATCACGAGCGAATCCGTCATTGGAAGAATCGGGCTATTTACTTACGCTGGGTAAAAAACTGGTTCCTGATATACATATTTTGTGGACAGGCACGTTTTGCATTATATATGTTTGACATTTTACGTAAGGTTTCGACATTGGTAAAAATAATCTGATGAGGGATCGGATCAATAAATTACATAGGTATATTGCAGGACCTCGAGTGGTATCCCGTGAAATTACGATCGATCACATCCGACGTGTCGCTGCTGTGTTACAAAGAAAACCGGTGGTTTGGGATAATTTGCACGCCAATGATTATGACCCTAAGCGGGTTTTTCTGGGACCATTTGCAGGGAGGTGTGTATATATAATGTTTAAGAAAAGTGTATTTCTTGGTTGTACTAGAGTCGAAATTACTTCTGGAAAGTATTTCAGGCCTGTACGACTGAAAGAGGAGATCGCAGGAATTTTACTGAATCCAAACTGTCGTTATGAAGCTAATTTCTTGCCGTTCTATACATTAGCGGAATGGAATAGCTGTCATGCAGATGCTGATGTTTTGGAAGGTATCGCCACAATGCTTATTTTTGATCATTTGGAGATTGTATTGGTAAGGTACAGTTTTTCTGAAGGAATGGGTTGTGTATTACTGTTAGCTGATATCTATATATCTGAAAATAGTGTAATTTTGGATGCACTTTTTAATGTATTCTAGAACATTAAGAATTTTCTTCTGTCTATAGTAGAAGATTGGCGATTTAAATGAGAACGTCACACGAAACTCGAAGAAGGATCTCAAAAATCAGTAACTTCATGGTTTTGTACTTTTCCTTCCACTTTTATGCTGTCTTTGATTCCTTTCAGAAGCGGAATCAGATGCTATATTAGAGGCGGGTGATGTAGTTCCTGTTGCAACACACATTGTTGAGAATGCTTCGCCGAAACGATTATATCATCCATTAAAAGCTCTAGATGAAGGTATTAAGAAATGGATTGAATACTTTAACGCTGAGTCGTCAACAAATTCACATCCGTAAGTTAATGCTTCTGCTCGATTTTTTCCGACACCATATTTCAGTAAAACCAGTTTTGAATATTCGCGACGTCTTCATTCTCAAAATGTTTCAGATCTGTTTCTGTTGAAGTAGCTGAAGTTGATGAACTCAACGAACTGAAGCCATCAACAAGCTGTGTTTCTTTGGTCACTCGAGAATTGAATGGTCCGGATAGTAGAGACAATCAGACAGCAATTGTTTACTTCAGTGCTGAGGTAGTTGTAATTACATAATCACTGGTTCTCGTTTAGTGTTAAAGAATTAACTTCAATGGTACAATCGTTGAGATAAATCAGTCGCATGCTTTGTAAATCTCATCTTCACGATGAAAGATTGGATGTTTTAGAGTGTTAGTTCAAGTTTTACATCAACTCGTTTCTAGAACAACTCAGTGGTACAGACTGTGAATTCGATGTGCTCTGAATACAGCGAGCCAATGGATCTGGTGTCGGTTACCAAGGTTTCTTGACTTTTTCTGTTCTTCAAGATATGTTTCAACTCTACTTCATGTTCCATTAATTTATTGGCTGGGTTCTAGGAGGACACGAAGCCATCGTTGGAGACATCATATCAAAGCAAGGGAAATATTCAGGAAATGCTGGAAGTTTCATCAGATATCAGTATGGATAGCAGTGTTCATTCCGATTCGGAAGCAAAGTATACAAATTCTTCATTTCTTTCACTCTTCTATACTAGATTAGCGGTTCTACTGAGCTCCTACTAAGGATTGTACTATTTATATATGTTGGACACAGTCTATGCTCTGGTCTTGAAGAACAAAGTGCCACACAAAAAATGAATTTTCCTGACATAGAGGTGTTATAGTGTCACTGGAGTGGACCAGGTAGCAATCTTTGTCGATATGTTTTATTTACCCTTCGAGCATGGTCGCCGCGGCATTCAAATGTTGCAGGAGTTTTCTTGGCTTCACGAAAACTCATATGTAATGAGGAGAAGTAATGGTCAAGATATTGATGATCAGGTTAAATTTTTTTGCTTTCGTTTTAGCTTTCAATTTCACATGATCTCATGACATCATACTATACTGATTATATTTCTATTCTGTTGTGTTAGTAGAGATTGGGTGCTTTGAATTAAAGATGTATGAAAAAAGAATAATTTAGAATTCACTAGCAGTTTTTTTTATCCAACTGTGTGTTTCACTAGAGCGGATCTGTAACACAACTAATCAGCTATTCACTCTGGGAACTATTCGTTAAAAATACGGTATGCGGTTCAAAATTTGAATCCATTTACTGAGTTCATGTCACACTTTTAATTTCTCATTTATATGAGTTACAGAAAGTACAAGAATTTGTGAGTGACGAATGGAAACGGCGATGCGAGGATTTTGTCAAACTGTTACGTGATGTAACGAGGCTTTATCAACATATCACGCAACTTCCTAATCGTGTCTGTTACTTTTCCAGGAATTCGTTGTTTTTGCTCTTCACGAAATTTTGTTGTTGTTCTCTATAAAATTTGGAAGAGAAGTAGCCACAAGTTTTTAACATATTACTAATTAAATGTTCGTTTGCGTAAAGACACTTTGCAATTTTAGTTATATTTATAGTCTGGGTTTTTATTGAATGAATTTTGAGTTAATCTCTCAGACGTATCGGTGACTGATACAACTGTATTGTCGTGTTAAGACTACAAGGCCTTAATCCACTTCTTACACTTTTGGTTTTCATTTAAAAAAGTGATGTGCATAGATTTGCATTTTGATATGTAGAATCGTTTTAAAAATATGGAAATCTACCATGGAGAAGATACTCATAAAGCGTGGGCATATAAATGTTACTATTACAGAGCGTTGTTCAGGAACTATTTCAATACGTTTATGATGCTCAAGGTATGGCTTCTATTCTGGAAGCACTTGTTCTTTGGATGGCTGATGGACATTTGAATGTTGCACCTATTGGTATGTCTTTCCGTTAATTGTAATTCCTTTCCAGGCAATAATTCCAAAAATTCCAAAGTTGCCGAAATTTCATAACCATTTAATTGTTTTAATGTCTTTGTAGACTGTGATTGCTTTTGGCGTGTCGGTATTCCGGATGTTGAACCATGGACTTTGTCTGGCGGTTTCCTGGCAGACTTGCAGAAGCTTCTGTATTCGAGTGCTAATTTGGCGGACTTATTCCTATTGAAGACAGTATTACCGCTTTCTTTAAACTGCTACACAGTTAGGCCTTACGCAGATGAAGATATGGTTTGTTTCTACTTTCTACTTTTCATTTTTGAAAAAGGGGAAATTTATCAGATTTTTTCGTCGTCATCCATCTCGTTCTTACTTTATATTCCTTTGTTTTGCTGTCTAGACTGTTGTTTGTCTTATCTAATTTTATCGGCAAGTTTTGTTGATTGGTCGTAAGATGGTTTTTCTGATAGAAGAAATGAAATTTTATTCTATAAGGTTATGACCGACATTTTGAACTGTTCCATCTTCTCAAACATTTCCTATTACATTTTCAATTTTTTAAGCACTGGCGGAATTTCTAATTATTGAGATGGTTAAATTTCGGTTACATTTTCAGAACAATTTTCGATACATGTGGAAAATTGAAAATGAATATGCTTCAAACGTGGGAATTCTAGAGGAAATCAAAGATGAACGTTTTTTTGACAAGTAAGTTGTTCTTTTCGGTGAAGAAATAGAAATCATGTGTCAAGTTCAGTGTGGTACTATTAAAGGCATCTTGAATTGAACATGCTTCTTGAGTTCTTAGTCATAGTCATTAAACTGCTCTTAAGGCGTTTCCAGCCTTTCTCTGCTTGCAAGGTTTTGTTCGCTTGAGGGTCTTGTAGATTTTGTGACTCAAGTAACGATTCTTCTTAACATGTGACATTTAGAAGTAAATATGGTACCATATATATCTGTGTGTATTTTTTACACATGTATAAACTTTTGATAAAGGTTTGGCTTGACACCATTTGAAGAATAGCTTTTCAAGGTACATTGGTGCTTATACTGGTTTTGCAACGCCTCGGACTTGCTTTGTTGCGGTTGAAAATGATGCCATAGGAAGTCCGCGGCAAGTTAT